TGAAATTTCTGGGTTAGACAAGGCTTATATAAATGGACCACTTTTCTGAGCTTCTGTCCTGAAGTCAGACTCCACTGCTTACTGTGTTACTTTGAGTGCAATTGGTTAACTCGCTTCACTTGCCTAAAATGGGGATGGCCTTAGTACCCACTTCACGTGATGCTTGTGAGGAACTAATCCATGTAATAACAGATAACTCATGTCAGATGCCCAACCCTGAGTCAGAAGGCACATGTTAGCCACTTTTATATCAGTGGTGACAATGATGATGGATTTACTGTATGCTGCACAGATGCTACCATCTGTGACTGCGAGGAGGAGTGGAGCTTGCAGACCAGCGGGGAGATAGCCAAAAGAGAGCTTGTCAATATCATGTAGGGTGTCACCATGCTAGGCGTACATGGGGGAAAAAGGGACTTGTGCCTGGACAAGAATGTATGGGTCACCTGGGAGTGGAGCCTTGAAAGTTGACCACATGGTCAACTTTTGATGTCTGTGGGCTCGAACATTTCATCCAATAAGAATATTTGTGTTTTGGAAAATCTTGGATAAAAACTCTTATAGTTAGTTACCTTTGATTAATTACGGCTCCACTGGCATCTCAAACTTCCTATTTATTTAGGCACCTCTTTGACACACTGGCATAGGCTTTACTTTCAAAACAAAATAATTTCCTTTCCCTTGTTTACCAGGCAAAATTTAAGCCAGAAAAAGAAACTTCCATAGGCTGGCACGGATACACAGTCATCTGAGAAGTGTCAATCACAGTAATGTCGGTCTTTACAGAAACAGAATGAGTAGAGGGAGTAGCTGAATTTTGGCTTTGGTTCTTAATGATGTGGCTACATTCAGTTAATTATATTTTGTGTTTTAGACCCAGTCTAGTATGCTGAAACATATTAACTCAAGTATAAAAGGATAAGAGGCAGTAATAGAATGGTCATGGTGGTTGATTTGTTGAAATTGAACTTGATTGTAATTTTTTTTCCAAGTTATGACCTTAGAGCTTGGAACGGAGGGCTTTGTTTTGAGAGCAAAGTCCTTCTCTTCATAAGTAAACCTTACAGTGGTTTATGTAGAATATTTAAACTCCACTGTGTCATGACTGGTCAGCCAGGATGTAAGCTACCAATCACATCTCCAAGTACCTAATGAAGGTAACCTATTGGATGGAATTGCTTAACTCAGTGGTTCTCAAAGTGTAATGGTCCTTAGTTTCATTTGAAAACTTGCTAGAAATGTGAATTCGTGGACTCTACCCACAGCTACTGAAAGAGAAACTTTGGGGGTAGAGCCAGCAGTCCATGTTCCCACAAGACCTCCAGATGATTCTGATACTTTCTCAAGAATGAGAAACACTGGCTTCGATTATCCATCTACACGTTTACAGAAACAACAAAAACCCAAAACCATGAATGATGATTTTGATTTGTGGCCTAATTGAATCTAGTTGTTCTCTCTGATAGTAATAGACCAAGCGGTTCATGTGCTTCTTGTGGCTACTTCAGGAATGTTGTGAAAACCACGTCGTGTCCTCAGTTACATGCTGATGTCGCTCTTCCCCTTTGGCCATGACAAGACTAGTCAGGTGTATACAATAAAAGGACAAGCCCTGCCCTTTGAAATACTAATTTTTTACAGGAAGTTATTTTTGTCAACTTTGATTTTTATAGTGACTTATATGATTTTTCCTTTAGGAATTGTCCTGTGAAGTAGATAGAAACTGAAACCAATCAGTTACTGCCACACTACTCAATATATAATATTAATATTATAATGGAAATTGTTATAATCAAAATATAACAATGAAGATCACAAAACGAAATGAGTTCTAAGCATTGTAACCATGTTTGCTTTGCTGAGCCTTGAAAATAATTGGTGTTTCTTTATTTTCATTCCTGATTATTCAGCTACATGTGCTAGCATCATAAGGCCTGGTTCCTCTGTCAGGTTCTGCCTCCTCCACTCACCTGATATTGATCAAGTTATTAATCACTCTAAGCTTCAATTCCTTCATCAGTGAGTGGGATAATAACTGAACATACCTTATTGTATAGGATTTTTGTGGGTAATAAATAAGAAATGTAAAGCATTAGCACTAGATAAATGTTAGCTGCTGATATCATTGTTGTTATTATTATTATAAATATAATTATTATTTCTACCACTTCTACTCCTGGGGTTGCAGTAGCTAAACTAGAGATACCTTTGTGATAGGTCACTAATTTGTGCACCACGTCTGTCTGTTACCTCAATAGGGAGATGGAAGATACGGCTTCTCGTTCTCGTATTAAGTTTTTAGCATCTCTGATACCATCCTTTATTACTCTTATACATACATTTTGTTCTTTCTTTTGTTTAATGAGTACTATTGGAATGCCTACTGTGTGGCGGGCACTGGCCAGCATTCCTGCCTCCGGGACCCCTGCAGCAGAGCGTCTCATTTACTCAAACGTATGCCTTAATTAGTGGGGGCCTTTGGCTGCCATGACCACTGCCTTACCCACAGGAGCATCACCTGCTTTGTAGTGAGACATAGACTTGAACCCTGACTAGACTATTGAACCTTGCAATGACCTGTCTGTGTAGTAAACTGTGGCTTTCCTTAGCCTTAGTATTTATCATTGAAACAGGAATAATACAACCTAACTTATAAGGAGGTTTGAGAATTAATTAAGACAGTATTAATAAAGTACCTAGAGTAAGGTAGGTACTTAGTAGATGCTCAATAAATGGTAATTCTGCTTTTCTACCTTTGCTCCCTGTAGGCTGCCTAGAGAAATGGGCAATGGTGGGCTGAAGCAAATGTAGTTGTTGCTGGGTTTTTTTGTTTTATAATAGATTCTTTGACTTTTTTTTTTTTTTTTTTTTTAAATCAGGGCATCCTGCTCAATGAATTGTTTTTAGTAGATTTTTTAAGCCTGTTATTTTGCATTAATCTGTTACTGGTTGACCTCCACCTTTTTGTGGGCAAAAGTGACAACGTTTGACTAGTAATTCTCATTCGCATTTTTGGTTTCTGCCATAATCATCATCATAATTTAAACTGTGACTCTTGGAAGAACACAAACTAAGGATATCAGAAAGCTAGACTACAAATGTATTTTGGAGCTAGCAAAGGGACATTAGAGATCTAACCAAACTCTTTCTCAGGTCAGGAAGGAGGTCTAGAGGATAAAAGTGCCATGGTCACCTGACACACCAGTGGTGGGGTTGCGCTTCCTACTGTCAGGACTCATACCATTGATTTATATTGATGGTCATGTCTTGGTCGTCAAGTTCGAGAAGAATTGTCGCTCTCTATTTTTTAGTTGTTTACTTTCTGGGAAGTAGATCATAGAAAATAGATCCATGGTTATGATATTTGGCTCAACTTTCAATCAAAAAAGGCAAAATCGAAGAGCGATCTCTGGCAATCAAAGCACTCTTGATTTGACATTTTGGTCATTAGGTATGGAAAACAGCCTTGCGCTGCTTTTATTTCTTGGGTTTAATTATTAGTGTCTACTCCTCCACCTACTTCCTAGTGGCACAGACATTTGTATTTTAGTTTTTTCTTTTAAATTAGAGGTTAAAAATGAGCAGAAAAGATCAGCAAGAGTGTGTAAATCAAGAATGATAAACTTAGAACCTCTCTGAGAACAGAATGTTTGACAAAATATGTGGCTTTTGAACTCTTTGAATTACCAAAGCATCATAAGAAATAAAATGTTAGACAAATGTATAGTTTATAATTATTATAATTGGTAATAATGTTGGATTGTGGGGATGACTGCATATCAGGTCAGGGGTGGTGAGGGTGTGGGACTCGGGCCTTTGGGTCTCGTCCCTTGTGCTCAGCATCAGCGACCTGCTAAGACTGTTTCCTTCTGAATCCACAGAGTCTAAAATCCCTTCTCAGTATGTTGTGTCTGGAGATCTTTGAGTTAAAAAATAATGAAAGGGAAAGAGAAAATGCCACTGAAGAGAAGGTTATGGAATCCTGCTTCTCAGATTCCTTTAAAAAAAACTTATTGATTTGAGAGACAGAGAGACAGAGACATCAATTTGTTGTTCCACTAATTTATGCATTTATTGTTTGATTCTTGTATGTTCCCTGACCAGGGATTGAACCCACAGACTTGGCATATTGGGGACGATGCTCTAACCAACTGACTTACCTGGCCAGGCCCAGATTCCCTTTCCTTTCATAGCCTGGCTGTGTTGTCTTTGTGTTCATGTGCTATGTGTAAGGTGGGTCAGCAGTGTGTATTACTGCCTCCTTTCAGAATTTAATTTGAAAATATTTTCATGTCCTACTTTTCACTTATCAAGCTAAGCTTTAATCTGGGTTATCTGTAGTACTCCTCACGCAGAAGAATGCCCGAGCAGCTGCGCCATTGTGTACTTTAAGATTCCTCCCCACCCCGAAATGCACTTGGTTAAGCCAGGGTTTAGACCAACAATGTTCTCCATACACTTTCTTACCTTTCATTTTAATGGCAGTAAAATCAAGAATACTTTGCTTCTGAGTGGTCTTGCAGACATTTGATAACTATTTTCATACCTTGGCTTGTAAGAAAACAGAGCTATTCTGAATAGCATGTGTAGATGCCACTTTCGTCAGTAACTGCCACTTTCGTCGGTAACTGCTGGAACCAGTTTGGGAAGCTTTGCCACGCTATTGCGACCCTAAGTGGCAGAGAAAGATTACGAATTTTATTTTTACATTTATTGAATGTTCTTACCTAGCTTTAATTGTTTCTGCTTTATTAGCAAAAGTAATGTTTTTATTGAAATTATTATTAGACATCAAATCACTCTCTGCTCTGCCAGGGGTACTTAACTTTTGTGATTTTGATGTTTTGTAAGTGTTCAAAATAAAACGTGGTAATAATGTATATCCTACAGAGAGGGAGAAAAATCGCTACTTCTTGATCTGTGTCCTGCCCAGTGCAGCTTATTGCCCTTTTTCATAATTAATGCTATTTTAAAAGTGGTTTGTGGCTGTTTGGTTACAGGATCGTCCCAGGACGTTCGACATGCACTCCCTGGAGAGTTCACTCATTGACATAATGAGAGCTGAAAATGATTCCATTAAAGGTAATTTTAAAAATGTAACTATTTGATTTTAATAGTTGAAAATTTGTACTATCTATATAACCTGATCAACAATATGGCAAATATTTTGGATCCATCTTGTATCTAGTCAATTTTATGCATGTGTGACTTTTTGGTAAATACTGGACAGCCGTCCACTGCCGGCCCGTCAGGGTGTCTGAGAGGACCGCCGGGGTGCCGATTGCACGGGGAGGGCAGTTCGCTGGGAAGGCATGAGCCGCGCCCCTCGTTTCTTTATGTCGCAGGCAACACCTTGTCAGTGCCTTAAACCCATGTTTCTGTCCACCCATCACAGAGGCTATACACTAGGAAGAGTTCGAATGCTGATAGATTTTTAGCCTAGTTTAATATTTTTCAAAAAATGGCCTACAGTTTCAAAGTTAAAATGATGTTTTGTTGTTTTTGAAGTATTTCCTATGTATTATGTTAAGAAAAAAACAGTGCTATTCCTACTTGGATTGTGGCCTCCATTCTATTTCTAGCCATCTGTGTTATCTTGAACAAGACATTTGAGTTTGAGTAGGCCTCAATTTCATACTCATAACAAGGGACTTCAAATCAGCCTTCCAATAAGGAACCTATAATGGGGAGCTTTAGAAATAACATACAGATGCCTAGGCCCCGTCCCAGGTGTGGATGGGACTTGACCTGTTATTTCTTTAAAAACAAATTTTTTTAAAGATATTATTTATTTAGAGAGAGGGGAAGGTAGGAGGAAAAAGAGGAAGAGAAACATCAATGTGAGAGAGAAACACAGATTGGTTTCCTCTCAAATGTGCCCCAACCAGGGACCAGGCCTGGATCCCAGGTGTGTGCCTTGACTGGGAACTGAACTCGTGACCCTTCACTTTGTGGGAAGACACCCAACCAACCCTGCCATGCCAGCCAAGGTGACATAATATTTCTTAATGTCCCAGTTGATACTCATGGGTATCCAGGGTTGAGAATGGCCAGAATAGATGTTTTCTAAGGGCCCTTCCAGCTCTGATTTTATGAAAACTATCCTACAAAATAATATACAGGATCTAGCACAAATAATTCTGCTTTTATCACAAAGTCTTTTTTACAAAGATTACAGAATCATAAGCATGTAATTCTGTAACATAACAATATCACACTCAAGCACACCATATGATATTTTAGGTGAAGTGTTCAAATTGCTGTCCATCTTGTGCGAGGCATTCATCTACTCTACCAACTACACTCCAGCAAGCTTAACTTCTGCTGGACTCTGTATTTTTCTGGACATAATATCTATTTTACTTGAAAGTACTTTTTAAAAAAAAATTAGGTTGTTTGGTATATTTGATCATCCTACTTGTTTATTCATTTGTCCATTCTTTCGTTCATTCACTCATTCATTCATTCATTCAATGTTTATGAGCCTGCTTTGTGCCAGACACAGCTTGCACTGGGGTTAGATGTGACAAGGCAGGCTGTAACATCAAGTGGTGACCAGCCTGGCCCAGGTTGGGCTTTTTTTTTTAGGTTAGTTTATCCTATTACTGATGAGTAAAGCTAAATATTTTTCAACAATTGAATAATGGTAAATTTCTCAATGAGGAAAGCTTCTCAAAGTCTGGAGAGATGAAAAATAATATATGAAAACAATATGCATCCATCTGATGAGGTAACTTTGAAATAAGATAATTTTAAAGGTCTTTACTGATGTCCCTGTGGAATTCTGATAGATGACTAATCTGAGGCACACTGTTTCTGAGGAAAGATGATCTCTCACTCAGAATTGGCTGTATTTTTTTGCCACTTTTTGTCATTCTGACTTTGGATAGGCCTTCAGCCTCTTTGACCCCTCTTCTCATTTTCTCATCAGAAAAATGAGAGTCTAAGGTTCTTTCTAGACCAGAAAAACTGCACACTATTAAAAAGTAGCCAAAGGAGAAATCTGAATAAGGTCTATGGGTTGTATCAATGTCAGCTTCCTGGTTCTGTACTCTAGTTATGTAAGATGTTACCATTAAGCAACCCTGGATCAGGGGTTTATGGGATCTCTCCATTCTACTTTCTGCAACTTGCTGTAAATCTGTAATTATTTCTAAGTTAAAAATTAAGTACAGAAAAAGTATCTAAAGGATATTTGTTTATTCTTAATGTATTTATTTGATTCCTTCAACAACATTCTCTTTTTAACTTCCTTTTTGTGGGGGGTTGGGAGGAGAGCCTCTAAGGTACTAGGTTCTAGGGATAATAAATAATTAGGACTCATTTTCACAATAAGTGCCTATTCTTTTATTAGAGAAAACACAGCAGCAGACATAAACAATTTATTATGTGATGTTCTAAGAAGCAAGCCTCTAATTAGTATTTAGGTTAGATAAGAGAGTTTGCACACATTGTTCTTATAGGATTAACAGCAGCATTTTCTTGATTTATCAGATTAATCCAGGACATTTCTCTCAGGTTTATTTATTCTCTCTTACTGTTGAATTTTTGTATAAATTCTGCCTTTATTTGGTATTCCCTTTTTAATATCCTGTAACCAATTTTTACCTAAATTAAGTTTCTTTTAGCTGATTCTGTAGGGATAATCAAAAGTTAAGTCTGATGACAGAAAAAATTAAATCTGATTGGCCTTTTCTGGGAACATAAAGGTTTTGTAAAATTGTGATCTCTAAGAGGAAGTGCGGGAGAGCGGAGCCAGGTAGGTCTGGATTTAGATGGCCATTCTGCCACCGCGGTTGGTGAGGGTTCAATGGTGTGAGGTGCCTATAAAATCCAATGTGCTGCCTAGTTTATAGATGATGCTCAGTGAATGATATTGATTATTACTAAATGTCTATTAGGTCTGTCCTCATGCTTATCAAATGAGAAAGCCAGTTTTGGTTGAAGTGCCAAGGCGACTTAAGTATATTAAGAATATATATACACAAAGTAAATGAACTTTGTGTATATTTTCCTTCAAAGAGCAATAAAGAATCCACAGATGGGTTCATGGTCCTAAAATGCCAGACTGTAGCTATGCTTGACACACCACAGTGTCCATAGCTACCATTTTATAACCAAGGCGATGACCCTCTATCACTGTGGCCTGTCATTACCAAAGTGTAGTTTTGCTGGGGGGCATACTTTATTTCTTATCAAACTCTCTAAAAACAACACATTGTCCTTTTAAAATAAGGACATAAAACCTAAGTATCCATTTTGAAAATACCCTCTTCCTATGCCCTGCTCCGTTAGAAACAGAGAAAACAGAAAATGGACATGAATTCTATAAGATTAGTAGAGAATGATATGCCTCTCAGAAAGAGTATTAACATTCACTTACAAGAATTAACTTGAGAATTGTTTTAAAAAGTCTTCATCATGTGGAAGCAAAATTTATATCTGGGTTTATCTTAAAAATAATTTAATAAAATATATTAAGATTGACCTCATTTATTTTTATCTTTCATTTGCGGCTCCTCATAGAAAAGCGATCTGTATGTATGTGTTTAAATAATAAAGCCTAATTTTGGTACAAGAACTACAAGGTGAATTAATTGGTGTGGTTATATTACTTACTTAAATTAAAAGCAAACAAACAACTGAATTTGCCTTTTCCCTTTTGGGAAAAAAAAATTCCCTTAGTGTAATGGGGTTTAAATTTTTTTATTTTTGCCATCAACAGATGGCAAAGTGCTTAATATGCCTCAGAACCTTCAAATATAGTTTTTGAGTTTCTTTATAAATGTGCCATTGATTGCAACTGACTTGTTGAAAACCTTTTATCTTTTTTCTTTTTTAACATTTTAACAGATGTGCCAAAGGAGTACCTAACCTTCATTTCATAATTTATATTCTTTTATTTTTACACCTTATTTAAAAATAGTTTTTCTAAGAATTTTGAGGCTCCTATCACTTTCTCCGTATACAGAGGGTTAGCTCTTCAGGAGGAAAGGCGTCCTCCCTCGGCCTTATCTCTCCACGTCCTTGCTCTGATCAGCTGGCATGTCTGGATGTTATTTTTATCTTCGAAATTGTATATTACTTTCTCTATAACCAAAGCCAGTGGCAGTCTGCAGCGGCTCTTCTCCAGAGACAATTTCATTTTCTTTCCTGTACACCAGCCTCATAAGCCAAGAGCCCGAGTTACAGACCCATTTTGAATTTTGATCTCCCAGGTGGCAGCTTGTTCGTTGCTACAATATTATTAGGCTTATCAAGCACTTTCTTCATCTGGACAGAAAAATCTTTTACTGTTAGTGATGTTCAGATGAATATTTGGGGAATGTTGTATATTGCTGTTATTTGTGAGGTTTTTTTTTCCCTCGCCTGTGAAATTGGTACTTATTGTTTAGAAATGGAGCAGCGTGAGCTAAATTAAAACCACATGTGAGCACATCTGTTTTCAGCCTTCTGAAAAATAGGCTGGACATAGTGAAATAAAGAGTCACGAAGCCATATTACATTCAGTGCATAGTAGGAGAGACCTGAAAACCAAGCCTTTTTCTCTTTCCTGGGAGTGGAGGGAATGCAGGAATATAGATATAAACCAAAAAGTAGTTGCTTGTGGACTGGAAGCTCGGGAGACAGCACTGGAATAAGGAGGCAAAAAATAGCACTTGGAAATGATCAGATGTCAGACAGAGTCGAACAATTCACACTTTCATAATAGTGGTTGAATATTTTATGTCCTGTATATGAAAACAATTTCATATCCAGTTTGCTTCATTTCACTAGAAAACCAAATGAGACAGCAAAATCATTGTGAGCACAAAGGCAATCTATACATCGTCAAAACGTTAATAGCCATTCAGATATTAACTAAATTATGAGTCCGAATATCATCGCATTTCCCCCCAGAATGTTGTAAAGCTGGTGCCCTAAGTTCTTCATACTGTTATAGAATATATCTTACTTTCAGTTTTTGGAATGAGGAACTCAGCACATCCACTCCAACCCTCTGAGTGTCAGACATTTTAAATACTCAATTTGAACATAAGCAATAATGACTGTATTCCGAAATGCAGGCTGTTTAAAGTGCT